CGAAATTCAAAACAAACACAGCATTTGAGGCAAACCCACGTATACTATCAATAAATATAAATAAATGTGGGAGAAAGGCCTAGTCGTATATATTTATATATTGAGGGAAATTGTAGGAATTGTGTTCCATAGTTCTGTACGATAAGGTTACCTAGCGAAGATAAAATCCAGGCACATATTTGTAATGCTGATACGAGTAAGTATATCTGGTGCCAGGGGTACACGGAGTACTGGTCACAAAATATAGCATATATTATCGCTAACGTTCCGTGACCAAGGGCATAGGTTTTAATTTTACAGGCTCGATAACGAAACTGGAGTTATGAAATATAGCCTTGCTTCGTGCAATCTCATAAACGTTGTTTCCGTGCCAGTGTCGGAACGATACAACAACAGTGACACGACAGAATTGTTTCCAAAAATACACACCTTGAATTTAAATGCAGTTGACGCCATTTGCATTTTGTACGTGTCAAGGAAAAAACAGAAATATAACATATTTATGTATATTCTCATAGGTTCTATTCCGCGTCTTTACCGTTGACGTGATGCCCAGTCACGTATTACATATAAATATATCTTTTCTGATTGTGATCTTCAAACAAAATTATTCTTGATAGTGATTTAAAAAAAAAAACTTTTTTGTTTTTACCCCTGTTTGTTTGTCTTCGGAAATTCACACAAAACTACTCAAGGGCTATCTGCGCCGGTCGTCTCCAATTTTGAAATTACGTAGACCAGATGGAAGACAACTAAACAACAGCCCCCCACGGCCCTAAATTTTATCTATTTTTGTACTATAACGGGATGATAACGCTTGACATGACCACTAGGCATTTTTAATTATAGCTTTTTCTGTGTGACTGTCTAACTGCTTTAGCTTCCCGCTAAGGAAAGTTTCGTATTATTAAATAGCTGAATAACGTCAGGTGATCATCGAGCATGAAAACAAGGTTTTCAGGCTACTTTTTTGTGTTTTTTAAGGCGACAAAGTAATCTGTTTTTGTTTATTTCTTACATATCTCGTTATTATGGTTACAGTATTAAACTCATGTTATTCGTGTGATAAAAATTTTCCTTAGATTTTCTTTTTAGTATATGCGAAGTCG